TTTTCTTCAGTTTTTGTAAAGTCAAAAACTTTGTCACTGTTTGAAGAAAGTCTGGCCTTCTTGTTGTTTGGTTGCTTGCCCATGTCTAGAGTAGTAAGTTCGTGCTTTCTGGACCCTGAGGTTCTTGTCTTGTTGGAAAAATCGAAGATAAAAAATGAGGTTCTTTGTAAAATTTTGATTTCGAGTGCTTTTCGGGAAGGGAACCGGAAAGAGTTTTTTTTTTTTTTTTCCTAGTACTTTTAGAATAAAGTTGTGATTTATTCTATCAAAGGCTTTGTGTTGGTCTAGAAGGATGATTCAACTTGGTAAAGTTAGATTATTTTGATTTCTCATTACTGTAATAATGTCTAACGCTGTATCTGTAATCAATTTTTCCTTTATAAAGACTTGTTGTAAGGGTCCAATAATTGTCTGATATATGGTATTAACTCTATTAGCTAGAATTTTCATAAAGATCTTCATATCACAGTTGGTGAGCGAGATAGGTCTCCAGTTGTTAATGTTTTTCAGATTATCTGATTTCTTGGGAATTAAAGTAATAATACTTTTGGTCCAAGATCTGGGTATTGATCCTGTTTCTAGACAGAAATTGAAGAGCTTCGTGAGTACTGGAGTGACTTAATTTTTCATTTCTTTGTAGAACTCATATGTTAATCTATCTGATTCTGGGGCCTTGTTATTTGGAAGTTAGCTAATAATGTTGTTAACTTCTTTTTCTGTGATTTCCTTTGCTAGCTCCAATTTTTGAATCTCTTTGATTTGAGGAAGATTCTACTTCCTCTGTTTTGTAGGTTTCTTGGTAAACATTTTTGATATATTGTAATTTACTAACTGAGCTTTGATTTGTATTGTTATTAGGGATTGAAATTCTATCTTGTATCGAGATTCTATTTCTTAACTTGTATAGTAAGAAGAAAATTTTGGTAGATTTTTCTTCTTCCTCAATCCATTTTATATTTGACCTAGTTTGTCATTTGTCTGAGAGAGCCTGAAGTTTCTCTTGTAGCTAAAGATCTAGATTATCTCTTGTGGCTACTATGTCTTCTGAAGATTTTTCTTTTGCTATTTTGTTATCCATTGCTGCTAGTTTTTTCTAAAGCTTGTGTATCTTCTTTTCGGGGGTTGGAGGAGGCCTGTATACCCTAGTTATTGATTGTATTATGCACTTATACAAGTCTCATTTTGAGAAATTACTAATACTCTTTAGCTCTTCTATTAATTTTTCTTTAAGAAGTGAATTGTTTTATATCAAAAACTCTTTCTGGTTTACCTCTGGAATTTATACTAAAAACAAAATTTTGATACAATCACAACTTGATTTTTTTGAAAACTTCAACGAAACAAGGACCTTAGTGTCCAGAAAGTATAAACATATTATCATAGATATGGGTAAACAACCAAACAACAAGAAGGCCAGACTTTTTTCTAACAATGCAAAAGTCTTTGACTTTACAAAAACCAAAGAAAATAAAGAAAACAACAAGAAACTCAGCAACTACAGCAATAACAGTAATGATAATATTACTAAACAAGAGACAAATGTGTTAACAGACTTGACTCTCAAGGAGTCTAACACAAACTGGGCAAACCAAGTGAAAAAGAAGAAGCAACTAAAAAAAAGAATGAAAATGAAAACTCTTGCAGTCAACAAGAGACACATGTAGATGACTCAAATACAACAAATCACGTAAATAGTGTAATCAATAAACAAGAGAAATGCATAAACAGTAAACAAAAGGAACATGTGACTACAAATGACCAATCAACTTCCATATATCTAACTACTCCGGTTAGACCATCCTTGTCTTATACATCTGAGTCACAAGGGTTACAAGGCAATCAAAATGAAGGATCCAAATCCAAACAGTGGTCTGATCTATTTGCAAAACTAAGAGGAGGTAAAGCAGTCTATACTAAATCTACTCTAGACAAAGAATCTACTCTAAGAATGAGAACGCGCTAATAGTGGATATTCAAAACTTAAACAATATACCAACCAATGACATCATTGCAGCTCTAGCCATAAGCTTAAAAGAAGATCTCATAGCAGCAAAGACCCATACTTCAAGAGGAAAAAAAACCTATCTAGAACTTGTCCTAAAAGATAAAGAAAAAGTACAATACTATGTAGCTGAAGGCATTTCTCTCTTCAAGCAGACTCTATTTGGATATATTCCAATCAATCTTAATCGATCCTTTTTAACTGTAAAAGTAAAGAACACCCCTATGGGCGAAACCAAATATATTAGCAACCGTATTTTAGAAGCCTTCTAGAATGTTAGTCAAATTGCTTCTATTAAACCTCTCTGCTATGAAGGAACTACGGTCTGCTCAGATCAATGGTTAATTATCTTTGAAACTACTGATAATCCAGAAATTGCTTCAAAAATCTCTAGAACTACCCATGTTGGTAATCATAAAATAACAACAGAATAGAAAGAAGCTTCTAAAATCTGCTTTTATTGTGAAAGAGAAGACCATATCAAAAAAGACTGTAAAGAACTTAAAAACTCAATAGAATTTAGACGCCTTCTTAGAGAAGCCAAGTCTTGATTAGAGAAAGAAAAAACTCAAAAATTAGAGGCTACAAAAATTGATTTTAGCTCTAACAACCTATATAGAAATGATATGAAAGAAGAAAAGACTCAAAAACCAGAAAATATAGAAAATAACTTCAGCCCAGATAATCTATACAAGAATGATATAGAAGAAGTAACCCAGAACAAGGAAG